ACTGAAACATCAATCAAATATATGTACATACATATGTATATTAGAATAACAATTAGGAACTATATACATATAGATGTATATGTGTATGTATGTATATAAAGTCTAGCGAGATTTAGCTGATAATTAAAGTGCACACATTGTTTGGGGAAATATATTGGAGAAGTGGAGAAAATAAAAACCCTGATTAGTCACTCTCTGGACCAAATTATGAATCGCTGAGATTGAATTGGGAAATACATAATCATATATGGGACATACAGAAGTGAAATTATCAGCCTTTATGACGGAAGCTTTGGTAAATAATATAAATATATTTGCATTTGATTAGCTTTGTAAACAAAGCGCAAAAATCACGGTCGCATTTATTGCAGCTATAATATAATAAGTTTTATATAATTACATTAAATCTTAAATATGAAATTTAATTAAGATTATTCGTACTATTTTTATGTATTTTTATTTAAAGGTTAATCACAATGAGGGCTTGGACGATATAGATGGACGTAAAGGGCGCATACCTCGAGCAGGTTTGTAATTTACATCATTTATTCAGACCTAAAGCTAACTCAACTATAACTTAATCATTCATTATTTCAATGCTCTCTCACCAATCTGTGCTCTAAAATAAACATTTTCAACTTTGCGCCCGTAACAAATAATTGTGTAAGATGCTTCTATATATCTATCAACACATAACTTCGTAATACTGAATGCCAAATCTGTTCAATACAGTACCTGAAATCGATGATGATGATGATGAACGTCCTTCTGCGAATGGCTTTAATGCGGGCGTGGATGATGGTCTGCTAGGTAATGGAGACGAGAATTTCCGCCCCAATTTACCCCAACCGAATGGTGGCCGCCGTCCTAGCTTTACATTTCCAGGCTATGATGGTCCCGGCTTTGTGACCATCAATGGTGTGGACACGCCCATACCGGATGTGAATGCCTATCAGCATAAGAAGACGCTAGCTCAGGGTATGATGGATCTGGCGCTGCTCTCGGCCAATGCGAATCAGCTGCGTTATGTACTGGAAACGAATCGACAGCATCCGTACTTTTATCCCAGCTTAATTTTTATATCATTAAGCATTATATTTCAGGTACATATATGCGTATTGCCAAATTTGTATTTCGTTTATTTATTGACGCTTTGTGTTCGTTTCAGATTGCAGTCGGCGTTGGCCTTATATGGAATGGCAGATACAATATTAAGGATGAACGCGAAATATGTCGTGCGAACAAAATTAATAATTATACAGTCATTGGCATATTTATTGTGACCGTTATCAACGTTTTAATATCTGCTTTTGCTGTGGCCGAAGCCACGCCTCCAACTACAACGTAGCGTGATATTATAGAATTCATTTTTTACTCTACAAATTGTATATTTTTAGGCAAATACTCACAACACTTTCATTTTCAAAATTCATATTTCTCACTTGTATATATTAGTGCTATTGTGATAATAAAACAAAATGAATCTAAAAAGTGAATTTGCTCTTAAATACTTTGAACTCAGCGCCATAGCTATCGAGCTTTCAATCGATACTTTGGTTAAACAAGTGAGGGATCACAACAAATCAATTACTCAGTAAGTTTATGCAATTATTTCTTTTGGTATAACATGATTTGCTGAACAGGAAAATACATACTGAATTAATTTTTGTCATATAGTGATGTTTTAATACATTAAAAAGGCATGTAAACAAGTCGGTTTGTTTTTTAATATTCTAAGTTGCGCGCCACAGCAATTAAGCTTTCAATCGATAAATGGTTTGAGCAATAATGAGATCTCAACTACATAACAGCCCTGTTTCTTATAGTAAATATTTTTCTTAGTAGCCCTGACTGTTGACTTTTTGTCAAAATATTTTGTCATTGGTTTTAGCTGAATTTCGAGAAA